AATGCATTCAAGTGAAGTTCTGTTCCACTGTTTTAGTTGCTGTGAGGTGAAGACATGATTTGCTGGAGGATATATTCAAAACAAATTAGAGATTTACTGTGCCTGTTTATTTTAAAGGTATGCCCAAAAAACAGTTTCCAGAAGTATCTTTCAGCTTCTTTCAGGATATAAGTAGGACTATACAGAATGTACTGCATCATTCAGTGTGCTGTAATGAGACGTTTGTTTATTAAGACACCCTGAGTTCAGATAAGCAACAAAGCATCAATTATTTCACCAAAAGATACAATGCTGAGTGCATGCTACTGAAGTTTCTCAATTTGTCATTTGAGTCTTGTGTAGTGCAGTCTGTAGAAACCATCACAGACTGAAACTCCATAGAGTTTCTTCTAAACTTTACTAACTGCTGGGTAATCTTTCTATTATGTCACATCCCCGAAATATCAGACCGACCCCTAACATCATTGGAAATCACTTTATTGACAAGAAATCAAAGAGATAATATAAAAGGCAGTCTCCTCCAGGCTCTGTGTAAAAATTTACTTCTCAGGGATTTAGGGATGGCATTTAAATAAAGCCTTTGAGAGAGATTGAAGGGTGTCTCATACAGAGTGAAAACAGACGGTGACCAAAAGAGTTCAGGACATTAGAGCAAGTTCAGAGTGCAGAAGCAGCTCTGGCATCATTAGCCATGCAGACAGCAGGATATTTAAGTTTATAATAAAGGTGGTTATTTTTACATTACTCCAACTACAGCCAACTTTATTGCATCTGGTTTGTTCCACAAGCCCCTCTTCCCTTCCACACCACTCGATTGCATCTTCATCTGTATCCAAAAAAGCCACAGGAACCTATGAATTTTTGTGCAAGACTGCAATTTCTTCAATAATCTTCTGCAAGATGAGTATCTTTGCAGAAACCTGCCAAAGATGGCAGGTTAGCTGGAAATACTGCTATGAATGTCAGTTCCCACAAAACTGGTATTCTTCACAAAAATCTAAATAACGTATTTATCAGTAGAGTCACTTGCAAGTATCCAGGAAAGAACAGATCGGAGAATGAATGAAACATTTTAAGTATCACTCAGGAACTGCAAGCCAGTAAAAAAAGAAATAGCAGGCGTGCAGACAAGAACAGAACAAGGCATAGCTTTCAATGAGACAAGCTAATTTAGTGTTTGAAAAAAAGCAACAGTAAAATCAAGAAACTAAGCTGAAGTTCCCAGTTTTGTCTCAGCATGTAATTCATTTCACCTCTATACCTTTCCCCCCACCCATGAGATGAGCCTATTATTACTTATTATGCATGATTCTTTGCCTTAATAAAGCTCTTCTGGATTGTCAAATTGAAGGGGTGCAGTAACAGATTATTACAATCAGAGAACACATTCATATTTTTCCATCGTTTAGTCCTGCAGGGCTTTAGGACTGTTTGGAGTTACCTGCTGAAGACTATCTAGTGGACACTGTACCTAAAAGCACAAACTGCCATTATGTTAAGCACAATAAGGTAAGACACCCTCCATGAAAGCTCTGTGTCCTCCTCCTAGATCTTACAAATTGCAGCCAAAAAAAGTGATTTAGAGGATGACTAGAGGCCTTCAAATACTTTGAAAAACATGCTAAGGAGAAAAAACAACTTCTTTTCAAGGCACACAGTGATTGCCACATCCACTAAATGGGTTCACCACTACATCCAAAGAGGAGAATTTGCTGTCTGGAGAACTTAGAAAAAGTAATGTAGAGACTGAAACAGTAACTTTCCAAATAATTTTAAGGGCAGCAATCCTGGATATTGAATCAAACACAGGAGAAAAGAATGATTCACTCCTTTAAGAATTTCCCAAACCACCTGGAACTATGAACAGAGCTCTCAAACAGGAGAGTCAAACAGCAGATTCCAGACAGACTTAGCAGCAAACCCAATAATCTTTTAACTATCCAGTCTTACTCTAACATCTAGTTCTGTGTTGCTTTTTTTTCTTGGAGGTTTTTCTTTCTAAGCACTACTCAGACTAATTCTCTTTAGCTTGCAAAATCTGACAAGATCACAGCCTGAAGGGGAAAGGCTGCAGTGATAAATATTTAATGGTCTACATCAATAAAATTTATTTTGCCAAGGAGAATGGAAGGAGAGGAAAAGCAGAGAAATAATTCATTAAAAGAACTTCAACTTAGCAATGCCAAAAAAATAAAAAATAAAAAAGCCATGCTAGGGAAAAAGGAATTAAACACAAAGGTTTTAAATAGGTCAGAAGCTTAAGTACTTGACACATTGCAAACTAACAAAGAGCTAAGTTTTTGCAGAATGAAAGTACCGTTACATCTATACTTAACAGCAACTCATCACATTGAAAACAAATATCCCTGGATACACTAGTAACAGTTTCAACTTCTTGCAACACCATCCAACCTTTAAGACCTGCTTAGGACATTGAAGTGTTACTGCTCAAAACCCATTAAGAATTCAACAAGCACCTTGAAGTTCCCTTCATTTCTCAAAGCAAAAGTCTTCCCTATTTTATATTTGATGGGGCAATAAGTAACATTTTCCAGAAGAGAAAAATTCAACAGCAACAATTAAAGAATTTAGTACCAATCTTGGACAATTTTGTACTGCAGTGCTCCCCATAACTGAGTATAGAGCTTAATATTTGCAACCTGTATCATAGGATTTGCAAAAGGAAATGTTTCATCTCTCGTTCCCTCCAATACTGCAAATCACTTACAATGATAGAAGAGTATCCAGCACCTCAGTACATCTTTCAACACCTTTTCCATTTATTCTCTTCCAATCTGGACCTCTTGCAACCAGAAGTCAGCAGGATGGGCAAGGAAGAACATCAGAACCAGTTGTGTTTATGCAAACTAAACAAGTGTAGGAACCCACTAATTCTAGATCTGCTAATGATTTACTATATGGCTTTGAATCCCTGGGTAAGGGATTATTTATTTTTTTGTATGGATAAAGTGGAGACAGAAATACTGTGCAAAGAGGGGAACAGTCTCAGGACAAGCAGATGAAATGGTATTAAAATATTTCACAGCTACTTCAGTGGGATCTGGTAAAAGATAATATATTTAAAACCCTACCTTTTTAGAAGTCTTTCTTTAAAATTATTTAATAGCTTTGTAGGTGAAGTACTTTAACCTCCTTAATGGTGAAATACAGATATGATTAAAGAAGTTGAATTTTGTCAATAACCAAAAAAAGTGATTAAGTGCTGCCCTCTAGTGAAGTCATAAATAGTTTCAGCAGCCAGATTTCAAATCAAGTTTTCATCTTGCAATGAATCACTGGCAAAGCCATTTTAAAAACCTATTACATAAAAAAAAATTAAAATCCTATTTTTTTAAACTTTATTACAAGAATTTAGCAGCAGGCTAGAATATTTAAAATTTTTGTCAGGGTTCTAGAATTAGCCCTTTGTCATACTCAAGAGTATCTTTTCTGTAATGCCACTTTCACTGAAGGCTTAATGACTTCACTACTGGTTACTGGAGCACCTTGACTTTTGCTGTTACTTTTCAAAAGGCTCTCTCATGTGAAGTGGACAGATATATTTGTCACAATTTTTTAATTATTTTTTTTTTGTGGATTCTCAGTCAACTTTTTTTCATGTCTTTAAAAAGAAAGAGGTGCCCACTTCAGGAGCAGAGCAATTAAGAGTCGTAGTATTTGGCCTCAGATGAAGAAACAGCAACAAGAGCTGTAAGGCATTCCTTGCTGGATGATCCTAATGGTACTAGAATTTCACAAATTATAGTTTGCTTTCCAAAAAGGCAGGGATGGGGTCTTCTTTAAGAATTCAAACCACATTACATGCTGTTGTTTTGTGAACCATAGGAGGCAGAAGGCACAATTATGGGTGGTGTTTCACTTTTTTTGGGTCAGACTATCTCAAACTACAGCTGGCCCATTACGTTGGCCTGAACTACAACTGCTACAACAAGAGGATTTCAGGTCAATTTGCTCCTCCAGTCACTGAAACACTGTTTCCACCCAGTGTCAGATGAATGCCTGATGGAAAAGCTCGAGCTAAACGCATGGAGCAGACATTACAGTTTACACAAACCTCATGTATTGTTTCAGCACCAGACTACTTCATACACTCATTTAAGTATTTCTTGAATGCCAGCCATTGAGAACAACTTAAGTCAATTGCTTATACAAAACATTGGACAAAGTTAAAACAACTTCCCTGGAAACTTACCAGGTTCATTTATTAAGGAACAACATTCAAAAACACAAATGTTATATTAATATATTTTTCAACTTCCATATAAAATTAAAAAAACCCAACTTGTTTGATTTTGTCAGCATACTTGCATCTGCAGGTTACAACACCTGGGGAAAGATCAGTACAGAGAATTTTATTAATATCTTCCAAACATTTAGCCAACAAAAAACTTCATATGAGCTTAACATGCAGAAGATGTATCTGCTTCCAGTCTGAACAAGTTTAGCTTCCAATCATTAACACATTCTGGGTCAAAAGTAACTATCATATTACTGTCAAGGCCAAAGACCTTCCTATTTTCCCAAAAATAGGTTAAGTTGTACAATAAAATCATATCTGCACGCAAGCTACACAATTACTTCAGTAATTTATGTCATCTAAATTTGAAATTATGCAGACTTGTGTGGGCTCACTTATATAACTTCATAACAGGATAAAGTATCTGGCCAGCCTACAGCTGTTTCTAACACTGCCTCTGAGTTTGATTTAAATATATTCAGAATTTTAGACAACAGGACTGAGCAATTTAGTTGAACTACGAACTCCCTGTAAGAGCATTATGATAAGAAAAGCTGAGACTGACAAGGTAAGCCTGACTCATGTGCATCATGTGGGGCCTTCTACACGAGACATCCAGACAGAGCAGTTCCAGATCACACAGTATTAAGAACTGTTGCCGTCTATAGAGGTGAAGGTAGCAAAATGAAAATAAGGTTCCTCAGACAATGTTGTCAACAGTTTTAGTGCTATTTTTACCTGTTACTGGTCCATTTTCCTCTGTATCTTCCTTTAAAAATCTGAATAATGTTTCAACCTGAAGAAAAAAAAAATTGAGACAGATTTAAAAATTTTCAGTAAACTGTTAAATGAACAACACAAAGAAGCAATAGTTATTCAGTAGTGTCACACTGAGTATTCCTAGCCAGTCTGAAACACAGATGTAGCAAAAGATGGCAAACACCCACATACTAGATTCACCTGAGGTGGCATTATACTATGCAATTCAAGTTCTAACAAAGGACAAATCATAGAAGTTACCGTTTTGTAAACTCTGCCTGTCACGAGTTAGTAGATCTCACTTTTAAAGTATCACATAAAGTTACTTAATTTTAAAAAGAGAAATATTCCTGCTCTACTACCCTTCCCCTTACTCTTGACCACACCAGCACAAAAAAACCCATCACAACAAAAAGGCTGAAGTTAAGCTTATGCTAATCAGGCATCAATCACCAAGTTCAAGTTCCACATTAAAACTAGGATTTTAGAATCTAATTGTCAGCTGGCAAGGGAATACAGTTCTTCTTGTGTCCTCCCAATAAACCATGAAATCTTGCCACATGCACTAGCCAGCAAAAGCCTTCAAAGGTCACTGAGCCTAAGCACTGATCACAGGATGACAGAATGTTTGAGGCTGGAAGGGACCCCTGGAGGTCCAACCTACCCTGCTCAAAGCAGGGCCACCCAGAGACAGCTGCCCTGGACCAGGCTTTTAAATATCTCCAAGGATTAAGTCTCCACAACCTGAGCAACCTGTGTCAGTGTTCTGTCACCCTCCCTAAACAGATGCCTTTACAAGGAGAACAAACCCATACCAGACATACATGTTAACACTGAAGCACAGATCTTCTTTTAATCCTCTGAACTCCTTTTTTAATGGGGTTATCCACTCTATTACATCATCACATGGAATTTGGATCATGAAGTCAAACTCCACCATTTACCAGTCATCTGCCCCATCTTACACAATATAAACATGTTATCTGGAATTAATGAACCTAACTTAGAACCTACCTAAATAACAAAGCTTTGCCCTTGTTATTTCCTACAGAGAAAAAACCACTTCTGGGAGAAAAGTCCATAGATTGAGCAAGATAAATCTGTTTTCTTCTGAAGACTGGGAAGTTGGAGAATACAGTATATGAAGGGATGTGCACCTGTTAAGAAACAGCTTGTTAGTTACACCAATTAGGAAAAAGCCACTAGATTCAAATTAAAGTACAAATCTAAAATGGAAAGTCAATATTAAGTTCTAATGTTCAGTTATATTCCTAGACCACTCTATATATGAGTCCTACTGGAGAAAAGGTGCAGGGAAAACACTACAAAGACCGTTATTGCATCTTATTTACTTCTAAGTAACTGAACAGTAAAAATAGGCTTCCAAACCCTCAGATTGATCCCATAGTTCCACTGTTGGCCAGAATTCTGGTAAGACTGGCAACATTTTGAAGGAATTAGGGAAAAAAACACATAGTAAGACCATTACAGTTCACAGCTGGTGAAAATTCACAATTGCTGCTGAGTTGTATCTACTGATACAACTGAACTGAATTTCTAAATAGGATAAATAAAAGGTAAACTAGACCAGAAGATGTTACTTTCAGAACTACTTCCCTGAAGAAAAAAATTATCTCCTTATAAATGTAGAGTATCTTGTACATATCCTGACCTGCTCAGTCTCACAAATTTTGCAATATACGTATCTGCTCAGTACCAGTTTTAAGATGTCACCAGGAACAGAGAAACAAAAAAGCTTGTACCAAAGAAAGTGAATTTACCAATTTGACAGCTTCATCCATTTCACGGGAAGCCACTGCCAAAATCTCCGTCGTGGGATTGAAGGTCACACATGTAGCAGAGGTAACTAAGTTCATTATGGCTTTAACTGGTTTAGGGTGGTTGTCTTTGAGACAGACATCAGTAGTATATAAATTCACAACTCCAGAAGTTGAACTACAAAAAGAAAGTAAGAATGACTACACCAAGTATTAACACCTATAGTACATATGACCTTGTTATCTATAGCCACAATTCCACTAAAAATGTCATTTCCAACTATTTACTGAAGTTTGTTACAAATCTTTGTTTGGATCTTGATTTTGCTTTGGAGTTTAAAACAGTACTTAGGAGGGATTTGTTTGGGAATTTTTATTTATACAAAAAGAGGCACACTTCACTGTGCCTTCACTTCACTTCACTGGAGAGCCTTGATAAACCCATCTCTAATGTAAAAGGAATTCAAAGCAATGAGAGCTTGGTATCAAAAGATTCTGAAATAGTTTCAAGCTTTGATTCTTTTTTAATACCATGTAGAGTAAATCCACTTTCAAATCCTCTTCTACAGAGAGCTAAGAAAATGCATACTGTACTAGTCTCATTTAAAAGAACCAAAACACTAGCTCAACTTGCATCTCAGCAAGAAGACTTGGAGAAACCTTTCAAGTTTGTGGCTTTGACTTGAGGCATCTTTTCAAATGCTAACATGCTATCTTCAGGAGCCAACTTAGGAATACAGGAAAGAATGAGAAAGAAGAAAGACTATGAATTGAGGCTTGTACTATAGAAATTGTAATCTCAGTTAGTATGATTTCAAAATTAACTGCTAAACCCTTCTATGGCAAGTGTAATACATCAGGAGCAACACTGATATTAACCACTTTATGCTATTTTAGATATATGTGGATGAAATTAAATTATTATCATAAAACAGACAATATTAACCTATTCACCTCTATCCTAACCTTACTAAAACCCAACTTATTCCATGTTCCTACACTCTCACCACCCACCATACTGAAGAGCTTCAAAATGTGACAGGAAGAAGCTGTCAAATCCAAGTCACTTACCCACATGCCACATACTGGTTATTTTTTGAAACAGCAATGCACTTTCCTTCCAAAGAACCTTCATCTTCAAATTTGTGTAGACACTTTCTGCTTCTCACATCCCAGATGAAAACTTCGCCTTCCTCTGGTTACAGAACAAAGTAGATTATAGAAACCACATATACAGAACACACTGTTCTATTTTGTTAAAATAAACTTCATTAGATGACAATTATTACCTCATTCACAACTGTCAAATATAAAGTACTTTTAAAAAACCCAAGGCATACTAAAATAGTTAACTCCATTCTTTAATGATTGATCACTCGGCTGTATTATTAGGCCATATACTGGCAAACAGACTTTTAATTATCTTTGTAAGACAATTACTTATAAAAACTTATGCAATGTAAATAGCATTATGATTAGTGCTGTTAGAATACTTACTTGAATAGCTATATATTTTACTGCTGTCTGGAGTGAAAGCAGATGCCGTGCATCTTCCATTTACCTTCATAGTGCTAATCAGTTCCTTGGTCTACAGGATGAAGAACAACAATGGTGACAATGATTCTGCCAAAAATCTGTAGGAAAGTTTTTTCCATACTCCTGTCCCACAAAAACCTTAAGTTAGCTACACTGGCACCACAGGGTGTCAGGACATCAACATTTTCAGTGCCTACAGACCAGAGCACAAGCCAATGCTCAGAAGTCCATGACCAATTTCTTATTGCACAGCTACAGCTAAGCTCAATGAACACCCATTTGGTCCCTTGCTGAAGGGTCCTCATTATATAAAGGAACTGAACTTTCTTTTTAGAAAGTGTTTTTTTTCCTACTAAACATTTAAAATAAATGCAGCTGCCATCATATGGCATTTTAAAATTTTAACTGAAAAAATGCTATATGCTTTATGAATCACAGCAGATGGCATGATTCATGGGCACAGTACACCAGCATGCTATTCCCAAAAAAGCAGTCCTAGATTTCCTCCACCCTCAGATGCCCATTTCCATGCTGAGCCCACTCCTGAAGCCATTCCTTTTGCCAGCATGTGTCCATGCTACCAGCTAAAATACATGACCTATGTTTTTTTTCAGTGACAGCTGAAAAACCCCCCAAAATTGCCCTTAGTTCCACCAGTCCCAAGAAGAGCTGCAGAGCCAGATACCCCAAAATAATTCTCTAAAGCTACAGGGAAGCTGATTCAGCAGCTCATTTCTGAAGGCTGGAACAGCATGTGTCATACTTTTGTTTTAGCTGAAAGCTAGATTCCTTTTCAGGCTAAATATAAGCAGATTCTAAAGGGAAAAGGAACCAAGACATTCAAGCTACATGAACCATGAAGGAAAACTACCTTCATTGATAGCAAGTGAAGGTAACCTGAAGTTCCAGTTAGAAGCATAAATGATCCATCTGGAGAGAGTTCAAAGCTTCTGAGAAATCTTTCCTCTACACCTTTAAAAAGAGATTCAGAAGTCCAAATTAGCATAACCTATTTTTTTTTCCCTCAGCATTCAGAGGTCTGATGAATATCAATAACACATGACTCCACTTAATTTTTCATTTCTGCAATATACTGTCACAATAAAGCTACAACTCAACCCTCTTCATGTATGACAAAGCTAACTTTTAGCTTCCCAGACAAAATAAAGCTAAAGTTTACTCAACTAAAAATCCCTGAAGACAAGTTAAAAAAGGCAAGTTAAACAAAGATTCACAATTCACTGCATTTCCTTTTAAAGCACATCCCTATGCCACTTGTATTTGGAACAGCTTCAACTATGCCCAGACACTTACAGCATTATAAAACGTACCTCTTACTTTCTGTACAGGAATAATCCTTCCACTCATCATGTCATACACAAAGAACATCCTATGGTGAGTACCAGTGGCTATAACTTGTTCTCCATCAACACTGAAACAAGCCTTATAAATTGGAAAACTCTCTAAATAGATGCTCTGTATTCTTGGATTTCTTATACCATCAACCTTCGAAAAGAAAAAACATTATTGTGTTAAGGAACATACTAAATACTTTTACATAGGAAATCATTAGCAACTAGCCAGTACAGGAGACTTTAACAGCAAAAGGTTCACCAGTTTGAAGCATTAATCTCTTCCTCTGGGTCTTGGCTCCTCACCCACTCCCAGCCTTCCTGGATATACTTCGCACCTCTTACCCTTCCTTGTTTTGCCCCATGATATTCACTTCTGTTGTGCTTTTCTAAATGGAAACATGTCCTGCAGCCCTGTGGAAGTGCCAAATCTGACTTGTGTCTTTGACCATTTCACTGATACCAGGATACATTGTCAAAGTTCCTAACCAGAGTTATGATCTTAAGTTTTCAGAGGAGCAGGGCAGGAGTGTCCCAGGATGAGCAGCTTCCAGCTGCAGAACAATCTCTCCACTCCCCAAATTATTTAACTGCAATATTACAATTTTCAATGCCAGTGGACTGCTCTCCACACTACAGGCCTTACAAACAACTTCAGGAAATAAAACAATAATCTTAATACTTCTCTTCACTGCAAACCTTAAAAGCAAACATTTTTAAATACAAACCTTCAACTAAAAAGTCTGATACAACTAAGTTTCCCTGTATTTTGTAAGTGGTTGGTATGATGCCTCAGATGGAAATTTCTGCCAAGACATCTTCAACCAAGCAAATTCCATTGTAATCACAGACATTACAACCCCATGTGGGCACCACAGCAATGGGAGAGAGAAGAAGTCTGTCATTCCAAGCTATCTCAGGTATATTTATAAAAGATTCCATACTAGTGACGATTTACATAGTATAGACTGAAAGTCTTCACCTGAAAGAGTGACACAGATCGATCCTGCCCAGCAGTCATGACCACTTGAGCAGAGGGATGAAACTGCACAGTTGCCAGTTTGCCTTCAGCAAAACGTTCCTGATTAGCAGGCAAGCAGGTTGACATCTAGAGCAAAGAGAGAGCAGTTAAAACAAAATAGAACTTCTGTATTCTTGCTTATGCTGATGAACGGACTTGCTCCTTACTCTGCAAGAGCAAGATCTGAAACCCAAAGATGAACTTTCAGACAGCATGACAAGCAAAATGTACAGTGAGTTTGGAAAGTGGCTCCAATGCAGCAGAGCAGACGTACAATGAACTTAGCAGCCTTTCTACTGACTTTGAAATTAACAGTCTATGTAAGACTAGTTGCATGCTGACTCATCTGAAATAGCTATAGAGGAAAGAGTGTAAGAAAATCTAATTTAATACATACAAGATGCTACTTTAGAGAATGTAAAATAACTCTTATGTTAGACCATACATCTCCATTTATTGTTTCATACTTTCATGATGTGATCTATCTAACTGTTGACTCTCTAGTTTCCAGTTACAGGGGAAAAAAAAAAAAAAAGAAATGCATGAGATCACTAATTATACTGCCCAAAAAGCAACAAAGCCTTCAAAGTGTGCATATGGGTCAAACTGAGGTGGAAAGAGCTGGCCTTTACCTTCAGAATTCCTCTTGGCAGGGACTCTGAGGTGGTTATGTAATTGCCAGTCCTGCAGAGCAGATCATCATCTTCATCAGTGTCACCTAATTAAGACAAAGCACATTAAGAAGGCTAATTCCCTAAACACTCCCACATTAAAAGCTACAAATTCTTTACAGAAGCAAGCTAAATCAAAGCACACTGAAGCATGAAAGGACATATCCTGACATATCCAGTATATTATCACATTATTGAAATTGAGAAAACATAAAAAACTATGATTTTCTATGAAGGTAAATAGGGAACAACAGAAAAGCTTATTAGAATAGTAAAGGATTTATTTACTATCACTTGCAGTCTTTCTGGATTTCTTCTGGTTTTCTAAATCAGCCCAGGCAGGAACTCCTCCCATAGCTCGCTGAAACCTGGACGGAGCAGGGTGAAGAGTGAGGAGGAAGAAAGCTTTCTTGAGAAAGTAACTTTCTTCCACACTTTAACTACTTACAAGACACAGAACCTTGCAAGGTTACTTGCACTCAGAACACTAGGCAAGTTTCTAAAATTTTCCCCTCAGCTGTCTGTGTTTTGCTGACTTTCTAAATGTGAAACTCATCCAAAACTGATTCTAAACACCAAAGCCCAGCTCTTTGGAGCCACCTAAACCAATACTAAGACAACCCAAGTACATCTAAAGCTCTGCTTTGCTACCTGACTGTGTTAATATTTCAGTGCATTCTTAAACACTGCATTTTCCATCATGCTATTTACAAAGCCAGGTAGCCCTATAAAAAACTGTTGGTATAACTCCCTAGCAGACAAATTAACCTATGCACCTCTACTGAAAGAATTATTAAACATCTCAGCCTATGCAGTGTTCATACACTTTCTATTTACTATTCTTAGCATTATTTCAGGTTTTAAACTTCTGAAAAGACTGAAAAAGCACTAGCTTTAAACAGGCCAGGTGAATGCTCTGAGTAAAGTGAGTTTGAATGTCATGTGAATTTATCTGATAAAAGTTAGCAACAAAAAGATGAATGAAACTCACTGTTCTTCAAGTCTTCTTTTTAGTTTTTTCTTAGTAAGTGTCTTCTCAGCATCACTTTTCATGAAATCTTTCCTATACCTATGGGTCATGTCAACACTAGAGGGAAAAAGCAGATAGAAAGTGATGATCATTCAAGCTGAACCCACCCTCTTAAGCCTGATATGCAATTCCTACCAGCAAACTTGAACTTACTCTTCCTCAGCTTCATCATCTTCATCCACCCAGGCCGGCTTTTTCGACACGAATTTCCCTTTCGCCTCATTTTCTACTTCCACATCGCTGGAGTCTTTCTGGAGAACGTTCCTCTCTGCAGCGTGAAGCTGAAAAACAACCCAAGCAGAGCATTTGAGCCCAGCCACGGATGGTGCAGGGAGAGGGACCGACGGGGCAGGGGCAGGGGCGGAAGCAGCAGCCCCGCTGGGGCCGCTCCCCGGGCCCTACCGGCGCGGTGCTGGCCAGGCACTGCAGCAGCTCGTCCTCCTCCACGTTGAGGCTGTCCCCGAACACCAGCTCCTCCA